TTTTTGTTTTGTGTTAAAACACCCTTGGAAATTGGGCCGGGAGAACTGGAGAGCCCAATACAAGTGGGTTTTCTTTTGAGTTTTATTGTGCATCCACCGGCAGCAGAAGCAGCAGTCGAAGATCCCTAATGCACAAGCAATGCACTATTAAATTAACCTAGTTCAGTGTTCTTTCTCTCTTTTATTCGGGGCGAATCTCTCTTTCCAAGAAAGCTGATGGAACCACCTTATATGCATAGATGCCTCATGGAGTGCCCATATCCCATATCCCATATCTCCCTCTCCCTCTCTCTTGCGAAAGACTTCAAAGCAAAGATCTCCATTAGTACAGAAATTGCAGATATAATTACGACTTTATTTACTTTGCACTTACTTGGGTCCTACGAATAAAATAAGCTAGACTAATTGTGTTTAATTTAAGGTCCTTGGTTGGTGTTAGTCCACGTAAACCACGTACTTTTGCGCCGCCCTGGAGGGTTGCATTCTTGTTACCTTGGGCAAGCCTTCCATATAGACTGACGGCTTACGTGACGGCTGGACGTTTTTTATTGAAAGTCCGAGGAGCATGTCTATGGAGCCCTTCAGGTGCATCAACTCGAAGGTTAGCAGGGTTTCCTCATAGACAGCAACCGACAGCCGTTCCATGGCCTTGAGTAGCTTCGGGCTGCAGCCCACCAATTTGCGCTCAAACACATTCAGTACTACGGAGGCGGCATTCAACAGCGGCCTCATAAACCGAATCTCGCTAAGGTACTCGCACAAAAAGTCGATGATTTGGATGAGGGTGGCCTCGGTTCGACCGATTAGGGCCTTGCCCAAGGAGCGTCGACGGAGTAGGTCAATAATTACGGCCACCACCAGCTCCGGCTTCTCCTCAACTTTCTGCGCCTGCAGCACATCGTCGAGCGCCTTCTTATGGTTAAACCGCCTCAGGTGGACGTCGTAGGATTTCAGGCCCGTTCCCTTGGTCCTCTCCTTTATGACGTGGTCCACCGGCTGGTCGGGGACATCGGGATCGGGGTCGGCGTCCACCTTCTTTTGTCTCTGCTTTCGCTCCCGTTCTGCACGGATCTTTCTCAGGTTACTCGGCTTGTTCTCCGTTATCATGCGGCGAATAACCATCAGTCCATCGACCATGCCGGCCACAACAGCCTGATCCCCGGCCGCCACGGCCAGACTGACCACGGCATTCGGATAGTTGATTGTGTGCACAGTTTTGTACGTACTCACATCGTAGATTTTTACGTGCCGATCCAAGCCTCCGAGAACAACCGGCGACCGTCCGATCCCAGACTCAAGCAGGTGACAGTCTTGTGATGCTGCGACATCATCGTAAGCAGCCGGCAGCCATTGATCATGTCCCAAACGCGTATCTGGGTGCCACCGGCGCTGACGAAGACTCCTCCGTTGGGCAGGAAGACCAAGGACTCCACGGGCGCCCCGTGATCCAAGTCGTGTTGCACTGGCATCTCCTGCCGCGTATCATACAGATTGATCTTGCCGTCGTAGCCACCGGAAACAAACATGTATCCCGCCTGCGGATGCGTGGCTCCTGCCCGGATGTAGTCCGTGTGGTAGTCTTCGTACGTCTGCACCACCTTCTCGTTGGCCACATCCCATAGTCGCACCGTCTTGTCGTCGCTAAAGCTGGTCAAGTGCACTTTGTCTGCCGTAAAGAAGGTCCGATGCACCGGTGCTTTATGTCCCTTGAAGAGGCGCAGGATGCTTCGGTTGGTAGTGTCGAAGAGCTTTACGTAGCCCTCCTCGTCGCCGGCGGCTAGCAGCCGGCCATCCTGCCGAAACGCGGCTCCGTAGGCGGACTTCTGAAACCTCGAGAGATTCTTCACCACCAGCTTGGTCACCAAATTGTAGATTTGCACTCGCACCGAGGAGGTCACTGCAAAGTTGTCTGGGTCGGAGGAACTGAAATCCAAGTAGTCTACTGCGTTGTGTTCCTTAATTTGTTCCGGTTTCTGAATGGTATTGAAAAGCAAAGATCATAAATTAGTAAGAGTTGGATCTCTCGTCATTGCTTCATTGTACCGCCAGGCGCTTCCAGTAGATTGTGTCCGGGTTTCCACGTACGCCCGCTGCTGGAGCCTTCTTATGTTTAAGGGGAGGAAGTTGTTGCTGTGCATCCTGGCTGTGGGTTGTTATCCAGAAAAGCTATTCGCTTGTTCGTTAGTTGGCGCGCACGTGCTCCAACAACAACAAAAAAAAATATATGGATCAACCGTGGTCTCGCAACCGCATTGCGCATGAAGACTTATCGAATTTCGATAATCAATCTGGCTATAAATAAGAATTAATGGAAATTGAAGAATAATTAAAATTGTTAAGCTGATATAAGACTCCCAAATATTTATTATTAATTAACAACATCAGAAACAAACGGCCTTTTGCCATTAAATCGAAAAATCAATTGAGTTTGTTATTTTTATAGCTATTTTTAGCTACTTGTTGTTCCACCTACATCTTTTTCTTCTCGATGTTGGCACAGTTATCGATAGGCGAACGGTGCTGCGTGTACACAATCAAACACATGTTTGCAACAACAAAAATAATAGAAACAAGCCGAGGCAGCAAAAACAACAACAACAAGAACGGCGCACAGCACATATGCTCGCTCCGTGGATGTAGAAAATATAGAAACACATTTCCAAATTGCGAAGCGAATTGCTGTGATCTACTGGAAACCGCACTTGGGGAGGAGAGGCAGCGGAGAGCAGAGGAGCGCCCGAGTAACCGCCTCCGTCGCGTAATAATAGTTGGGGCAGCAGCCCATCATCGGCCTGGACGTTCCGGTTCGGGTTGAGATCTCGCGTGCCCGACGCCGCCGCCGCCCGGCAATAACAATAACAAATTCGCTTTTAATTGAAATTTATTGTTGTGATGCGGCTGCCACTGGGGGCAGCCCGTAGAGTGTAGTCGTAGACCGTAAACCATAGTCCGTGGTCCGTAGCCAGTAGCCAGTCGCCAGTTGTCAACCTTCATTGCCGCCACGCCCCCAAATCTTAATTAACCGGAGGAGCAACGCGACGCTAAAGAATTGAGCATGTTAATATGTTAATTGGAAGCAATCAATGTGCCTGAAGCCCTCGCTCGAATCGAACGCGAACGGAAGCGATCCCGTGGAGTCCGCATCGGAAGAGCGGTTAGTCTAGCGATGGAAGCCATGGAGGAGGAACGCAACGAGAAGAAGGTGCTCTGCGAGAAGATCATTCGGGACATCAATGCGGTGTTCCTCAAGGATCAGGATCTGTAAGTGACATCTGTTCCCCTCCAAACCTTGAGAAATCCAATCGAATCTATGATTTCTGCAATCGGAGATAACCAATCTTGAAGTGTGGCCAGTATTTATGACTGCTTCTTGATTTCTGGATAAGATTAGACTTAAATAATTATGATTCTGCATAATTTGTTCGGGTTCTGATTTGGAATTCCAATCCAATCCAATCTGCTTCACCAATAATTAATGTTTGCCCTTCCACAGCGCCTCCTTCGAGATCATTCCCAAGGAGACCAATTGCAACAAGTCTCCGGTGGTGCATGTGGAGCACAATCTGGGTCTGGAGTCGTGGTGTGCCCAACATGTCTACGATCATGCCCATCGAACTCTTATCTCACACCGGCGTCAGTCGTCGCAGCAGCAGCTACGAACCCTTCAGCAGCAGCAGCAGAGCGATGTTCTGGCCAAGTACCTGAATGTGGCGCTGCTAATAAATCCCGATGTAACCACCTTCTGGCACATCCGCCGCCAGCTGGTGCAAAAGAATCGGCTGAGCATCAACAAGGAGCTGCAGTTTTCTGCCCTGGTGCTCTCCATCAAGCCAAAGTCCAACGAGGCGTTCGCATATCGGCGTTGGCTCTACTCCTTTCAAAGTAAGTGCTGGACATAGAGGAAATTGATGTAATTAATACAAATACCAATTACAGGTGCCGATGCCATCGACTGGCCTAATGAGATTGGCATTTGCGAGCGGGCGGCCGACCGCTGTGCCAGCAACTACCACGCCTGGTCGCACCGCCAGTGGATCCTGCAGAGCGGCCCGTGTCTGCTGCAATCGGAGTTGCTGCGGACGGAGAAGTTTATGCGGAAGCACATCAGCGACTACAGCTGCTACCATTATCGCCAGGTTCTCCTTGGTCGCGCCTACGAGCTCTGCTTCGCCCTGCCCACCGACCCTGGGCCCAATTGCCCGTCCCCGTTGGCTAGTCTGCAGCAGCTGCTGGCCAACTATGGCCTGAAGGGGGCAGACAAGGCGGAGGACATGCTGGAGCTGCTGCTGCCCAAAATGGATCGCAATGCGGTAAGCAGCCAGAGGCTACGCTCCTTTCTCTATTGTTGCAATGTGGCCGCCAGCGATATGCGCCTGTGCGCGGAGCAGCAAGCCATGTACGGGCCCCGGGATTGCTTCGAGCTGCATCGCCGGGCTGCGCTCAAATTCATTGTGGAGCAGTGCGTTCGCCTCGAGGCAGGCATGGGAGCGGCCCATTCAGTGACGGCGGATGACTTGCAAGCACATTTGAGGCAGCTGGACTTTGAGTCGCATCCCTTTCTGGCCGCCGTGCGACGGGAGGAGTCGGCGCTGGGCGCCAAGCACCGACGCTGGTGTAACCTTCATCTGAGCTTCGGCTATCCGGCGGATTAGTCATCGGTCGGCGGGACCTGAAACATTGTGAAAAGCTCAAAGCTGCGGATCAAGTAGTTTCTCGCGGCGCGGAGGAACTCAAATCAATCTACCCCATAGGATTACGTACTCTCTCTTCGTCTGGTCCCGTTCCCGTCCTGGATTCGTCTTCAATTGGAACCAGATCGATGCGGCTATTGAAGCTCATACAAAATGCATCCTAAGGAAAATCTTGTCGAAGGAAAAAAGGAGGAAGCTATTGTAATGGATCGAGAAACGGGAAACGGGATCAGGACTCTATATATACTCTCTCTATATATATTTATGTATATGTATATGTATATGTATTTACGCCCCAAAGACAAATGTTCAACCACTAGCCCGATATGAGACGGACTCCATGGGGTCCGGATCCCACCAATTGCATTTCGATATCTATGTTAGTGTTAAACTGTTCGACTCTGTTCTCGATCTGATATATCTGGCACGACTTGTTATCTCTATCCCCGTGGCCAGATGTACGATTTAATCAATTATCGCCATGCCATGCACGTGTTTGTTGTTAGCTAATTTGCAGTTAGTTTTAAATAAATCCAACCAACAGACGACAGGAGGTGGTCGCTCAATGGGTGGTGGGAGGCTCGGCATTAGGGTCAGGAGGCCATGCACGGTGAGAAATTAGTGGCCTCGGATAAGGCATATGAATGTAAATGGGTTTAAGTGATACTTGATTTCATAACGGAAGAAACTATAACTTTAATAATCTAGTGATCCATGAATCGAACAAAAGTGGAACTGTCAAAGAGGTATAGCCCTGCCCTGTAGCTTCTAGCTCAGTATCAATCGTGTCTAGCTAAGGAAAACACACATACAGAACTACTCAGAAGTTTTTTGATATTATTAAATATAATTTTGTAAAAGTACGATTTCTAAATTTCTTCGAAAGATTCCTTCAATCATGGCAAAGAATAAGATACTTGGATGGCTGGGCGCAATCCAAGGCATCAGAGATATCGCCGGTATTGCGTTGTTTTCATTCCGCGTAAGTGTTTATTTATACCTTTAGAAAAAGGAACTCTCTCGTTCATTCGGCATAAGCCGAATATCCTTTCGGCTTCTCTCCAAAGAAAGACGGAAGGAGCTGAATGAAATTAATAAGACCTGTCGCTCTCTGAATAGAATCGGTTGCTCATTCAGCTTAATCCGAATATATCCTCCCAAGAATAAACCAAGAGAATCTGCTCTTCTCTAAATTTATTTTATTTACGTGTGATGTTGTGCTCAGTGCCTACTTCTAAGGACTTCTCCGACATTTGTATTCATTTGTAGAAAACTACTTTTGATGCTTTGAAAGCCCTGGCCGCCAACAAGGCCATGTTTGAGCCACCGAAGGAACTGCAGTCGAATGAGAAGGATGTGGAGCTGAAGGCCATTCGCAAGCCAGAAGCCCCGAAGAAGACCGAAGGTCAACTGAAGTTAGATTGGATTAAAGCCGGAATATTTGGCAAAGCATTTATGCGTAAACCGGGCTCCAAGCAGTAAAAGCTGGGATTTGTGCCACTGGATTGTACAAAATTTCAAATTTACAAGTCAGCCAAGAAAAACTCGAATTCCGATGGAGAAACCTATTTCCACGAAATCACCACTTTCACCAAATGGCTGCATAACTCGAAACAATTCTTTTCTCAAAATCTATTCGGTCTGCAGAATGTTCCAGGGCCTGCCCGTAAATCCAGAAAGGATAATTGTGTAATATTTCTAATCAGATAAAATTTTGTAAACCAAAAATGCAATGGTATAGTTGTTCATTATTCAGAGTTGTCAGATGAAGCACAGGGATTTTTTAAATTGGATTAAAGATTAGGATCTATAGTTTTGTAAGCTTTTTATTGTGACATTATGAAGTAGGATAAATCTGTTTTATCTGAACATCTTACTTAGATTAGGGCATATATCCTTCCATGGGATTTAATTTCTGGCAATTGACCATAGCCTGACCAGCGTTTTCTCGCCGTGCACATGGATGGGATTCGCTTGGATTCGTTTCAGTTCTGACTCGAAGGATGTGGAGGCCACAGTGCGCATGTCCTGGCAGCAGCAGCAGTAGCAACGAGATGCTGTCGAAGGCGATGGCTCAGGCTCTGGCTCTGGCTCGACGAGATGACAACAGTTTCAGCAGCAGCAGCAGCAGGAGCAGCAGCATTGAAATCGGAGACTGGGCAGTAGTAATCCCTGCCAACGCTCAGTGTGTTTTTGGAGCAGTTCGCGTGCGGCCGTGTTGTGCAGTGTTGAGTTGCGTCGAGTGGTCCTGTTCCTGGCCGTGGTCCTTGGAGCTTATAAACAATTTGCGACGGACGGAATAATGCCTGGGAATAGACTGGCTTCAGCGTTTTACAAATAATTGAAACGGCGATCTGAAAAGCGCTTCCAAAAGGGGTTTGTACTGTCATTTGCATCCATCCCTACACGACCATGTGTACGTGAAAGGAACTGTATACATATATATGTGGTGTTTGTGTGTGTGGGGGAGGAGGGCAGAGGGTGTGTGCCAGTCAGTGTCTTTGTTTGGTTTTTAAAATATTCATATTCATATTCATTTTTCATCTTGCCTTTTTGCATTTGTTATCTCCTCCTCTTCCCAATTGTCCCATCTCTTTCTCTGTGTCCTGCTTGCCCTGAGGGGTGAGCGTGTCGCCCCCTAGGGCGTGTGCCCGCAACTGCGCCTCAACTGGAGTTTGTTTTTGTAAGAGTGTGTGTGTGTGTGTGTGCTTGTGCTTGTGTCTGTGTGTGGTGGTGGTGTGGTAAGGGAACAATAGTGGCAAGTCTGTTTATGAGTTGATTATGAGCTGCAAAATGTTGTGACCATTGGTCTTTGGGCCTCTTGTCTCCCATTTCCATCTACCATGGCCATTCGAAATCCAATCCAATCCAATCCTCGCCCTGGGGCCAGGCTCCTCCTCTATTCCCAAGTCCCCTGACCCTGGGACCTCAGCTGGCACACCTGCATGCCTCAGTGTGTGTGTGTGTATACGCGCTTGCACATGTGTAGATAACTCAAAATGGACACACCTGATGATTTTGTGCGTGTGCATGTGTGTGTGTGTGTGTGTTAGCTAAATTCCTTCGGCCATGGAAGTACAACGACAACTACATACACCTGCATAGATGGGGCCACGCACAGTGGCGGTCACACCAATAGCATCGTCAGGTTAACCTGATAACTGCCAGCAAGGTGAGCCATTGATCTACCCATGGGCATACGTTGTAGTTGTCCTTGGTTCTGTGGCTGTCCTCTCAAGGCTCCCATAGGATTCTGAAATGCATCAGTTAATTAATTCCGATGAAATTATGTTAGTAATTAAATCATTGCACTGGAGACTTACATTTTTGTTCGTTTATAACAAAAAGATGCTCCTGAAATAAACTTTGCTATGAACAATGGAATTTGTAAGTGGATCCTATTATTCTTCCTTCCTTTTCTTGTGCATCCACTTTTCCAGTGAATTCAAAGTAATTGATGTATCTATTATGTCCAATAAAAGCAAGCTATTGATAATATAGACGATTTACTTGAATTCCCCGTTGTCCTTGCTCATAATGCTTCAGCATAGGACAATTCCTGGAAGTTATAGCTGCGCTGCACTTGGTAATATTTCCTGGAAAATGTTTAATGGCTTGTCAAGCCTTAGAAATGATACAAAATCAAAATAAAAAATGGGTAAATTGAATAACATTGAAATTAATAATTGTGGTAAATAACAATTTCTTCTATTGGTCCGACCGCCACTGTTAAAACCGTTATAAATATGGATGTGTGTCCTGTGGCCCACATAAGTATGCAATGCATGTACGGCAAGCGGAAACGCGCGCTTGTGTGTGCGCGCCAGACTTCCGTTAGTTCCAGGTGCAGTGACAACTTGTCCGATAGGTGGCTCTGCATTCAATATCCCCTCCATTTCCTGTTCCATCCACAGGCACTCCACACTCCGCTACACTGGATTACCACACTAGCCTCCACATCCACGTAAGGGGATCCGGAACAGGGCAGGCCAGCGGCAGCCGAGGCGGACAATGAACCCGCCCACGCAGCGCAGACGCAGACAATAACTTGAGCATCCATCCGTATTCGGATTCACATTCAACAACCACTCCAAACACATCCACATCGACATCTAGCGAGACCCACAAATTGGGATGCCAGTGGAGTATTCGGTAGCCAGGAGCAGCGCAGCGGGGATGCAACGAGTCAGTCCAGCAGAAGAGATGTTTGCTCCGGACTCGCAGCGGTTGTAAGATCCACTGAGGACGCAACATCGACAAGTTGGCGATAATGGGCAGCCTGCCGAATCTTCACGAGCTGGAGGAGGCGGAGCGCAAGCGGGAGAAGCGGCGGGAGTATGAGCTGCTCCTGGAGCAGCGGGCTCGGGACACGAGTCGGGAGCGGGAGCGCCTCTCCGCCTTTGCCCAGCAACGCAAGGTGAGCTTTGGTGGGAGTGTGCTAACCAAGTAAATCTCTGATTCCCCTTGCTTCTCCACCAGCAATCCTCATATAATGCCTACATTATGGCTGGCCTGGGTATCGGCGGCGGCGGCGGATCTTTAATCAATTCCGGCGCTGGCACAGCCACCGGGAACGGAGAACTGCCCAGCGGTAATGGGACAAGTTCCTCCGGCAAGGGAGCACAGGGAATGATGGGGCCAGCAGTCCTGGCCAATGCATCTGGTGCGGCAGCTCCTCCTCTGGTGGCCACCACAACCGCTGCCACATTGAGTGGGTTCGGTATGCTGGGATTGGGCAAGAAGTATGCACCACATTCGCATCACCACCAGCATCATCATCAGCATCGCCACTCGCTGACCACCAGGCATCGTGTGCTCCGTACCCGAAGCTCCGGGGGAAACCAGAACGTCTGGGATGAGCAGATGATGGAGGTGAGTGGGAGGCTGTCGCCTATAAATAGAATCCTGTCAGGCTGTCACCCTGTGGACACTTGACCATCTTGCGGCGTCAATGTCGACTGGGAGGACGACGGGGATTATTCCTCCCGGTTGCACAACAAGTAATTAAGTTGGACCTGGCTGCCACCCCGTCCTCCTTCTGCCCATCGCATTCGCATTGCAATTGAAATTGTAGCCCAAGGCTGAACATGCTGCAAAGCCATCAGCTGATAATCCTTGAACTCGTGGCAATTCCTGGAAGCCAGGAACGGAGCCTCCTTGGAGCCTTTTCCAGCTAACTGCTCCGCGGAGATACATACATATTTCCAGGAAGATGCCTCTGCAGTGGCTATCCGTTTGTGGTGCAATGTGCGTCACAGTGTCCAGCTTGACCTTTGCCTTTCTGACCACTCCTTAACTCCCTCCGGCTCTCTTCCTCTCTCTCCCCCAGCAGCGCCTGACCACCTACTCGCCCTCACCCATATCGACGCGGTCGCATCGTATCAACCCGGTGTCCTCGTACCAGGTGCAGGCCGCCCTGGCCGCCTCGCGCCGGAGGGAGTCCATTAACAGCAGCATCGGAGCCACCTCCATCCGACGCCTGATCACGCTGAATAACCGCAATTGCCGGCACAAGGTGCCCGCCCATGTGCGCCAGAAGGTGTGGCGCCAGTTCAGTTGCCTCAGCTTGGCCCACGGCCTGATGAACGCCGTCCTGCTGCCGGTGATGGCCCTGCAGGGTTCCAATGCCGTTTGGCATCATCGGGAGCAGTGGCTGCCCCTTGGCCCGGACGTTGGCAGTCTGCTACTGGCCGCCCTGTTCCTGGTGGCCGCCGGCATGAGCCTGCCCAGCATCCGGCTGATGCGACGCTATGGTTACGCCCCGCTGCTGGCGGCCAACTACCTGGCGGTGGCCCTGTTCCTGCTATCGCACCTGTACGCCTCCATCTACACGCTGTTGCCAGCCTATCTGCTGCTGGGCTTCACCCTGAGCGGCGCGGCCTGCTCCAAGGCGGCCCTGATTGTCCACTATGGAGGCAAGCTGAGCTGCCCGCAGCAGCACTCCTGCGAGTCGCAGCAGTCACAGGCGGCGGTGGATGTGCTGCACGAGGAGCACAAGATGTTCTGCAACCGGGACCAGAAGGTGCGGCGTCTGGCCCGCTGGTTCCGGGCATCCCAGGACCTGGGACTCATCGCCGGCGCCCTGCTGGCCTCGCTGCTCCTCGCCTGCAGCGAGGGCGACTGGAGTGGTGACTGCTCCGGACTGGTGGACAATGGCAACGAAAGCTGGCCGCCCCAGCTGCGGGACTTTTACAATCGGAACGAGCACGGAGAGCGAATCTGTGGAGCGGACATGTGCCCGCTGCGGGTGCAGTCCCTCCTGGCAACGAACTATGCTAATGGCACGGCCCTGCCCAGCTCCATCTACGCGGGATTCATCGAGAGTGAGCCCCGGGTGGCGGGACAGTCGCTGCTCTGGCTGTATGTGCTCTTTGCCCTGGTCTCCCTGCTCCTCTCACTGGTAGTGGGAGTGGGTAAGGTTCACTCCACGGGCTCATCGCGACCGGAGAGATCTGGCAGTAGCAGCGGAAGCTCTCGGGATGTGACCATCACGGATACCCTGCTATTTGCCGGACCCCTGGCCTACTTTGTGGGCACGGAGCAGGCCTATATGCTGGGTGACTTCCTAAGGGCCTTCGTCACCTGCTCCCTGGGCATTGGCATGATTGCCGGGGCTCTGATCGGCATGGGATTGATGCAGCTCATCGTCTCGTGCACGCTGAGCATGCTCCTCCGGCACGTCAAGCGGATCGTGGTGATTTGTGAGTAAATTCCTAGAAAGATTTCAAGGGAGCCATAAGTAAACCTTCGCTCCTTTATCCCTTTTAGTGGCTGGATTCTTCTTTCACTCCTGCCTGCTGCTGGCCCTGTCCAGCTGGAAGCCATCGAGTGATGACAGCGCCCTGTTCTATGTTATCGCCGCCTCATGGGGCGCCTGCAATGGGATGTGGGAGACGCTGCTCCTCTCACTGGTCACCCTGAACCATGCCGGTCACGTGGCCGAGGTTTCCGCACCGCTACTGGGACTGCGCTTCCTGGGCCTGGGCCTGACCTTTGCCGGCCATGGCTTCCTGTGCGAGTCGCTGAAGGTGATTGCCTTGGTGGTGCTGCTGGTGATCAGCGTTCCACCATATGCCACGCTGGAGATCCGCCTGGAGGCGCAGCGCAAGGCGACGCTGGTCAGCTTATGACGCAGCATCTTCAGCTAGTCCCGACTCCTGCGACGGGGCACCGTGGCCCGGACGCACACCATGTGAGGGCGTCGGAACACGGCAGCGGATGTGGATATGGCAGCGCCGCCGGATCTGCTCCACCTGCAACCCGTCAGTATTGAACGAGAGACACAAGTCAGGCTGCCCCTCAGGCCACACTTCAGTATTTCCCAGATCTTCGAGCAGAGGTAGAGGCATGTAGGCAACCTCTGTTCGAGGAGCCCCTGGGTCAGGTTAACGATAACGATAACGAGTTCGTAAGGCTTAGCACTTAAGATGATCTATCTATATATACATATATACTTGTGCGCGGTGCTGGGCGAACCTTTTCGATCCCGGCGCCATATGCATTCTCAATTGTAGCATTTGCCAGTGCCAGTAATGTTGTTCCATGTCTATAACCTATCTATCAAATAGAGAGAAAGAGAACTCGGGAGGTCTCCAGACGTTGAGCATGTAGCATACGTTATATATCTGGGATGAAGCATACTTGATGTATCCTACATTATTAGATGTTTTACTCTGATGTGAGCCCAGAGGTCATGACGTTATTCATCCGACTCACTAACCCCCTGGAGATACAATAAGGTGGGATGTAACTTGTAAGCCTAGAACCGATCCGAACCTGTCCAGAATCACTATGAATGTACTCCTTGTCTGTGTCTATCATCGGTGTTATGTAAGTTTTGTGTAAGTTCGAGCCTCTCCAGTTCCAGTTCCTGTTCCATCTCCACTTCCACTCTTACGAATAGCAACTGTTATGATAACAAGGTGAAATCCTAAGGTCTTAGGTGTAAGAACAATGTTAACATTTTCGAGAATTTTGACGGACGAGAGAGCATTGCTTGTACTACATCGGGCTGGTGTATATAGCCGCGATTCGTTGTTATGATAGGTGGTTAGCCATATACTACATACACCCAAGAATATATGCATGTGTATTTTTTTGCTCCCAAGCGAGATGATTCGCATTGAATACTGATCACTGAATCCGGAATAATAAGGCAATGGCAAAACGAGTTAAGCGGGAACCTGTGTTCGAGTTCTATGCGTATGGATGTGTATTGTACTATATATATCGTAGGTATGTCCAGCTCCAGCTCCAGCTCCAATAAAGATTCCACAGCAATTTCGTTAAGTGTACTATGAGGGGTTCAGTTTGGTTTCTAAATTGGCAATTAACAGTCGCTGGCGTTTCTGGCATTGCTTAATTACCAGCAACTGGATTGAGCTTTTCCACTATTCGAGCTTTTTCTCACGAGCGTGAAAAAGCTATAGATCGGCTAAAGATCGGGTGTAATTTACTGCGAACGCTTGTTAGCTTTATCAATTGGGGGTACTTAGTACTCGGCGGCTAGCTAGTTAACTTGCTTTAGTTAGTGGCTTTGTGCGGAACCCGAGAGATACCTTTGCAACGCAAATGGACGCAGACACGAAACCAGAGGTGGCTCCCGTTCCCGTTTCCAACTCCGCCTGGAGTGACCAGCTGGCGGAGATGATGGCCTGGTTCGAGGGCAACCCCAACCTGCCCGAAAAGATTGGTGAGTAGACCGATGTCTCGCTTCGATTGATAATCACTCGAGTGTGTGGTGGCGGGATTAATGGGCGCGCAATAACCCGATATGGTTTACGATCCATTAACCTTGCCAAGTGGCGAAGTCAAAGGTCAAGTGTGCCGCCAAGTATCTTGTAATGTAACCTTCCCCGCAGAGGTTTATTAATTCTGTACTCCATTCCCCATAGAACCCATTGTGATGCTCCGTTTCCTCAAGTGTATGGCCTACGATGTGAAGAAGACCAAGGCCCTGGTGGAGCTCAACTACAGCATGCGGAATAAGCATCCGCACTTGTTTATGGATCGCAACATGAACGACGAGATGACCGCCAAGGGATTGAAAGTGTCGTGAGTGGGATCTTGGATGATAATGATTATATACCTCCTGATAATATACCTCCTCCCTTGCAGCGACTGTCTGATACTGCCTGGTATTACGCCCGAGGGTAACAAGCTGCTCTTCTTCCGCATGACCGACTTCGATCCATCTACGGTGGGAATCTATCCTCGATTCGGTTTCCCAAAATAACCATGAATAAATCATTCACTTTCATTCATTTGCAGCGCAATTCGGTGGAGGAAACCAAGATCTTCTTTATGCTAAGCGATGCTCGGTTCACGAGGCCGGATGTGGAGGTGGATGACGGAAAGGAGTACGTTCTGGACGAAGCAGATATTGCAAGCGGGGATGTGCAGATTGTGGATATTGAGGGCTATACCCTGCGACACCTGGCCTACGTCTCGATCTTTGTGCTGCGGATCTACATGAAGTTCCTTCAGGAGGCCTATCCTTGTCGGCTCAAGGCCATGCATGTGATCAACTGCCCCTCGTTTCTGGACAAGCTTGTCTCCATGATGTCGCCCTTTTTACGAGAAGAGGTCCGAAATATGGCAAGTTCATGCATATATTTTGTACAGATTTCAATATTATATTTCGGGTTTCATCATCATAGATCAAATATCACACGGAGGGCCTGGAGAGCCTCTATGCGGAGGTGCCCAGGGACATGCTGCCGGAGGAGTACGGTGGCAAGGCGGGCACCGTGGAGCAGCTGAAGGCCAGGAGCATTCAGTCCCTCCGCGAAAAGAGGTGAGTGAGAGAATACTGAATACTTGTACTTACTTGGAAATCTCAAAAATATCAATTTGAACTGGAAATTTTGAAATTGATTATCCAAATATCTCGAGTTTGTAATTTTTCAACATAAAGATACTTATATCCCTTGACTTTCCCTTTGATAGTGAATATCTGAGTGACGAACGCTTCTGGAAGGTTACGTCGCAGAGCAAGAGCCGCTGGTTATGGTTCTAATACCCTGTAGGATCCTGGTTCCGATATCCCTTGGCGAACGTGATATTCAAATGTGATCAGAGAGCGCGCCTTGCCAAAGCGAAGCTATCGATAAAACGGGGATGTCCCCGTTTCGGAATTCATTCAGTTTGAGGAATCAACATTAATGTTTATAAGACCTTTAGTTATTCCATTAAATTCTCGCCATTATATCTGTAAGTAAGGGTTGGAATTTATCTAATTTAGTCTTTTGTTTTTGTAAAAGGGTTAATCTAAGCCTAGCAATCTTTTCTATTCTATCATCCCAGTAAGGGTAAGGAAACTGTAGAATTATTACGAGCAATATCCAATAAATTAAATTAGATACATTTTATTGCCATCAAGAGTCAATTAGGAATTTTAATTAACTTCATTACGGCTGCTTGAGGCCATTTGTTTGAATCATTTTGTATTTTATTGTTTGGGAAAAAGCAAGTGAAATGCTTAGCCACTGAAGGAATATCAATAAGCAGAGCCATTAAGTGTGTCTAAAATTATATTTAAATTATATTTTTAGCTCGTAATAAAATCAATCTACAAGAACTAGCAATTAAAATGCACTATTTATAATTATTTTAAACGGTTTTTGTCTCTTCAAATGTAGTTTGAAGTTCAAATACAAATAATTCTCTATTAAAGGCTGCCTGGAGTGCATCCGGAGATGGGGGACATTTGGGATTCGGAGCACGAGCCGGTGATTAGGCAGATCCAGAAGCTGGGCCGGAACATATTTAGGCACTATTAAGCGTCGCGTCGACGGGCCAAACGATGGGCGCAAAAGCAATTATGAAATTACGTGTTTTTAATCGCAGACGCAATAGCATTGAATATTCAAAAACCCAATCGATGAGCGAAATCGATGCGAGAGTCGTCGGTCAGTCGCCTGCCAGGCTCCAACCACAGTGGTTCGCTTCAAAAATTCGCCTCCGAATTCGAAAGCGTTTTGAAAACCGATAACAAGACAACGACCGATAGATCGATAGGCGGACAATGAGCGCTGCTGGTGGGAAAGAGCAGGTGACAGCGACGGCGGCGACAACAGATCAGCTGGGACGCGACCTGCAGGAGCTGCTCGACTGGTTCCAGCACAATGAGAAACTGCCCAAGGATATTGGTAAGCGACGAGCGTGCCAGCGCCTCCATATGGGCCACCGCCAACCGGCCGTCGGAACGCATCACATCCGCTCCAACGGGCAGCGCCCACCTCCCGCGGCGGCTAATGAGGTCGTTAGTAGGCACCCGGTGGCCCCCTCGTCGCGTCGCGTTGCGTCGGGTTACGTCACTGCTGCCCCTTTAGTTTTGTTTCTTTTTGTATACAAACAAGTGTCGCATTAATGTCCAATGTCCCACCTGCAGAGCCGCTGCTGCTGCGACGCTTCTACCAGTGCATGTACGGCGACCTGGAGGAGACCCGCAAGCTCATCGAGGTGAACTATGCGCTGCGCAACCGGCATCCGCATCTCTTCATCCAACGGGATCCCCTGGACGAGGACAGCAGGCGAACCTTTGACTACGCGTAGGTTATGATGACACAACTATTAATTGCGATTACAACGTATCCGCCACCCACAGGGACATCCTTCCGTTGCCGGGCCTGACGCCGGACAAGTGCAAGGTGTCGCTGTACTGCTTCCGCGACTTTGAGGCCTCCAAGGTGAGCACTGAGACCTCCTCCTGAGACTCTCCTCCTCTTGTGACCCAGAACTCATCTGCAGATGCATCATACGGAGGATACGCGCGCCTTTTTCATGGTCACCGATTGCCGCTTTGTGACCCCCGATGATCCCGCCAACGCGGATGTCCTGTCCGAGGGCGAGGTGCAGATCTTCGACATGAAGGGCACCACCATGCGGCACATCTCCCGGCTGACCATCAGCACGCTGCGCGCCTATATCAAGTTCCTGCAGGTGGCCTTTCCCGTGCGCCTGCGCGCCATCCATATGGTCAACTGCCCGACCTATTTGGACAGGATCGTCAGCGTGGTCAAGCCCTTCATCAGCGACGAAGTCTTCAAGCTGGTCTGTGCTCTGCCCAACTCTTCGTGAGTTGATAATGTTTATAATCCTCTTAACAGATCCGCTTTCACACCGTGAGCATGGACTCCCTGTACGAATTTGTGCCCCGCAAGATGCTGCCGGAGGAGTACGGCGGCGGGGCTGGATCCCTGGCCACGCTGCGGGCGCAGACGCAAAAGACCTTGGCGGAACACCGGTGCGTACGGACGAGCATATGATTATTGGAAAGCATTTAACAATAACAATTTGATTCCAGCGACTATCTGATGGACCCCGATCACTGGGTGGTGGAGAAGACCGAGAAGCGGAACGCGCACTCGTGGAGATTTTTTAAATAATTGGTTTTGTATTTTATGTTTGTTCTTGATTCTCGTTAATTGGTATTTGTTTTTTTTTTGTCATCTTTTTTTTTTAATATATATATATTTATATCTTTAGGCCTTTTTACGTATATACCTTGTATGTGTCTGTGTATTAAAATGGTTCCTGTGGCATTTTGACTTATAAATAAAGCTCATATTGTATTTATTTACAATGTTATTCATTGATGGAATATGATTTTAATGACGAGAAGTAAGTATTACTAGAAATAATACTTAAAGTTTGGAATTTCCGGTAGAAATTCATAATCATAATCATCTGCGACCCTATAAACCGAAAGACTCTTACTTACTTGATGCTTATTTACCTTTACTTGTTTAATAACAAAAATTATATTATACCCACCCCAAAAATCCATTAATTCCAATTTAGAAATCTTTTCTGTGTACGTTTTTATTTAAATTTTGTATTGATCATTTGACAAGAGTTTGCACATAGTTTATATCGGGATTGGGGCCATATTCTTTATTGCTGACGAGGAAACTAGGTGGCCGCTGCTCCTTCGGGATTCGTCCCATCGGCCGTTGCTGGACGCGACTCACAGCTGTCTTCGCCGCTGCTCGTTGTGGAAGCACCTTCCTCCGGCGATGTCTTGGCCGCATCATCCGCCTCCTGTTGCGCATCTGCCAGTCCAGCCTCCGCCTTTCCATTCTCCTCGGCGTCACCGCCCTTCTTGTTCTGTCGGGAAACACGGATGGCATTCAAGTCGGGACTCCACATGGGTGCGGATTGAGGCACTGCTTACCTTCTTGCGCTTCTTGGGCTTCTCCGTCTTGACGGCGTGCAGCTCGGCCTCCTCCTGCAGCGCGGACTTGTAGTTGGCCGGAAAGAATTGGGTGGCCTCCTTGTGGCCAACCACCGAGTTCGTACTGACATAGCTGGGACCGTAGGCCATCAGGGTGGGTATGGTCGGACTCCTCACTTTGTTCACCTTCAGCACTATCTTGTCGGTGCTGTATTACGTGGAATTATGATTAACAAGAAAGGAAACTAACTTCGGGGAGCCGAAGTTTATTTACCCTTGCAGTTCAAAACTGAATTATAGGATCCAATCGGAATTCGATAATAACAAAGCTATAAATATTCACATTCTCCGAATTGATGTATGGATTATATGATTCAATTTTCCTTTGAAAAAATTTAAATTCTTGTTTTGCTATCTGGCTAGAACGATTCGCCTGTTAATGCTGATCAAGAATATATATGATTTATAGGGTCGGAAATGGCTCCTTCACTGTAAAAAATGATATTTTCCTCAGCAAGATTCCTAAAATTGATATTTTTATATGATAATTTTTTTGTAAGGGATTTTTCTATATCATATTTTTTTGGACAACCAAAGTTTAAAAATCGCATAACTTTGTTAAAAATGCCTTAATTTCAATTCGGAAAGCGGTTCTGAGTTAGTTGTTTGGCGCTTAACAATTCTGCATACCAAGTTTTCCTTTTTAAGATATTAAAATATTTTTTTAAATTTTTGCACATTTTAACGATGCAACCCCTTAAATTTTTTAGAAAAAATTTAAAATGGTTCTTTTGCTTCCTGAGATGGCTAGAACGATTCGCCTGCTAATGCTGATCAAGAATATATATGATTTATAGGGTCGGAAATGGCTCCTTCACTGTAAAAAATGCTATTTTCCTCAGCAAGATTCCTAAAATTGATTTTTTTATATGATAATTTTTTTTGTAAGGGATTTTTCTATATCATATTTTTGGAACAACCAAAGTTTAAAAATCGCATAACTTTGTCAAAAATGCATTAATTTCAATTCGGAAAGCGGTTCTGAGTTAGTTGTTTGGCGCTTAACAATTCTGCATACCAAGTTTTCCTTTTTAAGATATTAAAATATTTTTTAAAATTTTTGCACATTTTAACGATGCAACCCCTTAAATTTTTTAGAAAAAATTTAAAATGGTTCTTTTGCTTCCTGAGATGGCTAGAACGATTCGCCTGCTAATGCTGATCAAGAATATATATGATTTATAGGGTCGGAAATGGCTCCTTCACTGTAAAAAATGCTATTTTCCTCAGCAAGATTCCTAAAATTGATTTTTTTATATGATAATTTTTTTTGTAAGGGATTTTTCTATATCATATTTTTTGGAACAACCAAAGTTTAAAAATCGCATAACTTTGTCAAAAATGCATTAATTTCAATTCGGAAAGCGGTTCTGAGTTAGTTGTTTGGCGCTTAACAATTCTGCATACCAAGTTTTCCTTTTTAAGATATTAAAATATTTTTTAATATTTTTGCACATTTTAACGATGCAACCCCTTAAATTTTTTAGAAAAAATTTAAAATGGTTCTTTTGCTTCCTGAGATGGCTAGAACGATTCGCCTGCTAATGCTGATCAAGAATATATATGATTTATAGGGTCGGAAATGGCTCCTTCACTGTAAAAAATGCTATTTTCCTCAGCAAGATTCCTAAAATTGATTTTTTTATATGATAATTTTTTTGTAAGGGATTTTTCTATATCATATTTTTTGGAACAACCAAAGTTTAAAAATCGCATAACTTTGTCAAAAATGCATTAATTTCAATTCGGAAAGCGGTTCTGAGTTAGTTGTTTGGCGCTTAACAATTCTGCATACCAAGTTTTCCTTTTTAAGATATTAAAATATTTTTAATATTTTTGCACATTTTAACGATGCAACCCCTTAAATTTTTTAGAAAAAATTTAAAATGGTTCTTTTGCTTCCTGAGATGGCTAGAACGATTCGCCTGCTAATGCTGATCAAGAATATATATGATTTATAGGGTCGGAAATGGCTCCTTCACTGTAAAAAATGATATTTTCCTCAGCAAGATTCCTAAAATTGATTTTTTTATATGATAATTTTTTTTGTAAGGGATTTTTCTATATCATATTTTTTGGAACAACCAAAGTTTAAAAATCGCATAACTTTGTCAAAAATGCATTAATTTCAATTCGGAAAGCGGTTCTGAATTAGTTGTTTGGCGCTTAACAATTCTGCATACCAAATTTTCCTTTTTAAGGTATTCAAATATTTTTTTAATTTTTGCACATTTTAACGATGCAACCCCTTAAATTTTTTAGAAAAAATTTAAAATGGTTCTTTTGCTTCCTGAGATGGCTAGAACGATTCGCCTGCTAATGCTGATCAAGAATATATATGATTTATAGGGTCGGAAATGGCTCCTTCACTGTAAAAAATGCTATTTTCCTCAGCAAGATTCCTAAAATTGATTTTTTTATATGATAATTTTTTTGTAAGGGATTTTTCTATATCATATTTTTGGAACAACCAAAGTTTAAAAATCGCATAACTTTGTCAAAAATGCCTTAATTTCAATTCGGAAAGCGGTTCTGAGTTAGTTGTTTGCCGCTTAACAATTCTGCATACCAAGTTTTCCTTTTTAAGATATTAAAATATTTTTTTAAATTTTGCACATTTTAACGATGCAACCCCTTAAATTTTTTAGAAAAAATTTAAAATGGTTCTTTTGCTTCCTGAGATGGCTAGAACGATTCGCCTAATAATTTTTTTTGTAAGGGATTTTCTATATCATATTTTTTGGAACAACCAAAGTTTAAAAATCGCATAACTTTGTCAAAAATGCATTAATTTCAATTCGGAAAGCGGTTCTGAATTAGTTGTTTGGCGCTTAACAATTCTGCATACCAAATTTTCCTTTTAAGGTATTAAAATATTTTTTTTAATTTTTGCACATTTTAACGATGCAACCCCTTAAATTTTTTAGAAAAAATTTAAAATGGTTCTTTTGCTTCCTGAGATGGCTAGAACGATTCGCCTGCTAATGCTGATCAAGAATATATATGATTTATAGGGTCGGAAATGGCTCCTTCACTGTAAAAAATGCTATTTTCCTCAGCAAGATTCCTAAAATTGATTTTTTTATATGATAATTTTTTTGTAAGGGATTTTTCTATATCATATTTTTTGGAACAACCAAAGTTTAAAAATCGCATAACTTTGTCAAAAATGCCTTATTTCAATTCGGAAAGCGGTTCTGAGTTAGTTGTTTGGCGCTTAACAATTCTGCATACCAAGTTTTCCTTTTTAAGATATTAAAATATTTTTTAAATTTTTGCACATTTTAACGATGCAACCCCTTAAATTTTTTAGAAAAAATTAAAATGGTTCTTTTGCTTCCTGAGATGGCTAGAACGATTCGCCTTAATGCTGATCAAGAATATATATGATTTATAGGGTCGGAAATGGCTCCTTCACTGAAATGGCTCCTTCACTGTAAAAAATGCTATTTTCCTCAGCAAGATTCCTAAAATTGATTTTTTTATATGATAATTTTTTTTGTAAGGGATTTTTCTATATCATATTTTTTGGAACAACCAAAGTTTAAAAATCGCATAACTTTGTCAAAAATGCCTTAATTTCAATTCGGAAAGCGGTTCTGAGTTAGTTGTTTGGCGCTTAACAATTCTGCATACCAATTTTCCTTTTTAAGATATTAAAATATTTTTTAAATTTTTGCACATTTTAACGATGCAACCCCTTAAATTTTTTAGAAAAAATTTAAAATGGTTCTTTTGCTTCCTGAGATGGCTAGAACGATTCGCCTGCTAATGCTGATCAAGAATATATATGATTTATAGGGTCGGAAATGGCTCCTTCACTGTAAAAAATGCTATTTTCCTCAGCAAGATTCCTAAAATTGATTTTTTTATATGATAATTTTTTTGTAAGGGATTTTTCTATATCATATTTTTTGGAACAACCAAAGTTTAAAAATCGCATAACTTTGTCAAAAATGCATTAATTTCAATTCGGAAAGCGGTTCTGAGTTAGTTGTTTGGCGCTTAACAATTCTGCATACCAAGTTTTCCTTTTTAAGATATTAAAATATTTTTTTAAATTTTTGCACATTTTAACGATGCAACCCCTTAAATTTTTTAGAAAAAATTTAAAATGGTTCTTTTGCTTCCTGAGATGGCTAGAACGATTCGCCTGCTAATGCTGATCAAGAATATATATGATTTATAGGGTCGGAAATGGCTCCTTCACTGTAAAAAATGCTATTTTCCTCAGCAAGATTCCTAAAATTGATTTTTTTATATGATAATTTTTTTTGTAAGGGATTTTTCTATATCATATTTTTTGGAACAACCAAAGTTTA